GCCTGGGAGTTTGAGGGTTCTGCTCAGTATCCAAACTGTTCCGGAAATCTCAGATGTTGTAGCTCTGACCACTGGAGCCACTCTTCCAGTTAGAGCTCGTAGCCCCTGATGCTTTTGTTGTCCTCCTGGGACCACTGTGAACTTCCACCTGTTGGTCCTTCAGCAAGTGTAACTAGTGCTTTTCATACTCCTCCTTCCTGCTGTGTAAACACCAATCCTGCTGGTTCATGATCACAATACTGCTGATGCTTCATTTAGATTTCTGGATTCAGGAGTTCATCAGCATGTTTTCAGTATTAAGTTGCCGTAGAACAACATTATTTGCATTAGTTAGGTCACAGCAGAGGCTGTATATCTGACTATGTTTGATGTAGGGCTTAACGATTAATCAACTTTAAATTTGAAACCATACAATTAGTAAATAGCAACACTCCAATTCACGGTATACACTATGCAGTGTGTCTGACTGGTTTCATTTCTACACACCTGCTCTGCTTCTAAGATTAGGTTTAAAACTTTCCTATTTGATAAAGCCTACAGTTATGACTAGCTCAGGTAACCTGGAACCATTTTGTCTTGTGTGGTTCATCAACAATTCATTTAAATAAGCAAATGATTTGGGTAAATGAAGTGAACGAAAGCACTTCCTGAAACGATCCGTTCATGTTGCAGTTCAGTTGAGTTGTCATTCAATTTCGAATGAATATATCAGTCAGTTACGTTGAATCCCTGCAAGTGTATTCATTCACAGATCTGTTCCCACACAGGCATACATTCCCTCACTCACTAAAAACAATATATCCTGCAGTATGAAAAAAAAAGATGATTATATTGGCTGAACACTGTCTCAGATGCATGTTCAGTGACTCAGTCACAGAACAAACAACACAGTGAATGAGAGTCCTGACTGACAGTTAGCAGCTCAAACTGCTGAAAACAGACCCAGCAGACGAACACCGACCAGGTGAACTCTTTAAAGTAATTTAAAACGAGCTTTCATCCCCAAAACTGAATAATTTGTGATCTTTGGTGTGTTTGCCAAAGCAACAGTCCTTCCTCTTCAGTTCAGTGAGAACAGTTGGAGCTTGGTCCAAACACTGAACGATTCAGTGAACAAATCTTTTGAACAAAACTTTTTTAATGAACTGATTTTAGTGATTTGGGGAACTAAAAAAATAACTATGCATCACTAGAATGACCCTTTAGTTATTTTGCTCTATGCCCTCTGTCCCTCTCCATGCATTTAAATGGCAGCATTGCATTTCATTAACATTGTGTCTTCTCTCTCCTGCAGTTTCTTCTTTGTCTTTTCTGTCATCTCTCTCCCTATATCTCTCTGCAGGTAGTGAGGTCTTGACCTTACTATTTAAAATGCCCTGAGCACATTTATGATTTAGTGCTACATGCATTGAATTATATTTATCAGGATATAAATCAATATTCTTGCAGTTATCAACAAAAACTACAACCCGCGGATAACAAAACCAGCAGATTCAGATGCTTAACCTATAATAATCACATACACTGCCGTTAATAATCCCAGCTGGACACATCTGCATCAGTAATGAATCATAGCAATAACAATAATAGAATCAATATTCACTTAAAATGGGCCAGTAAGCTGCCATCTCTGACACCCCCTGCGGATGACTTCTTCAGGGGAGCGATTGCAAAATTTCTTGCCCAAGCGTGAATTGTGTGATTTTTACCTCGAGACCCCCCGGCTGCCAGGAGTGATGGTCTGTCACGGTCTCCCACCTGAGCCGAGCACTTCATTTAGCGCCGCTCTGATGTGGCGTAATGGCACAAGAGAGAATCGATACAGAGGCGACAATGAATTAACACCACATGATAAGTTACATGGACACCGAGGGATCCTGGGATTAACCGAAGAGAATTAACCTGCTGAAACTTTGTCACTCGGGAGATTTAAAACCATGATAATCCAGTGTTGAATCGGAAAACACTGCCAATCATTGATGCCTGTACTACTCAGGTAATCTTTCTTTTTATCCACACGATCTGTGGATAATCTGTCCACAGTTTGAACAGCGGCCCAAAGACTGAGCCGTGTTTTCCTTCCTGTTTGTTTTCCTACAGACTGCTGAGCTCTTACTGCTAAACCGGCCTCCTGGGAAGGTTATGTACACAATCACATAAACAGCTGCGTCGCCTACTGTGCTGACATCTGAGCAATTTTCATCCTCTTCCGTACCTTTTTTCACTTGAGCCCGCACAGCTTCCTCGGGAATAACAATCGCACTAATCTGAACGAGTGTTTGAGCGACTGCCTGAAACCTCAGCCAGCTTGTTTATCTTTTTGGCTGTGGGACCAAAAACCTCAGAGGGAGGGAGGGAGGGAGGGAGAGGAGGACGCTAATCAGGAGCGGTTAAATCATGAGCGTGCACGTTTCCAGTTTGTTGTTCCACTGTGGATTTCCTGCAGATGAAGATGAATGCAGACAGTAGAGGTCTTTTTCCTCCCGCAGAGAAGCAGCTCCATCAGATGCACATGTCTCCATCAGCTCCTCTATGTGATGGTACAGGTGTTGACCTCTAGGTAGGAGAACTGCTGGAGCGTCACCTGCGGCTGTAGCGTCACGTGTTCTTCTCTGCACAGTTATGCTACAATGGAACAGCGATGCTGAACAGCGTGAGCCTTCATTTCCTTTCCTTGTTGATGGGGTGTTTAAGAAGTCATGTGGGTGCAGGTAGAAAAAAGTGAGAGAGTGGCGACCAAAGAAACCCAATTTCCCTGGTACATTTAACACAAATTTCAGATGCAATTCAGCCAATTTAAACAGAAACAAACTGTACTCCATTGCTACCTTGCAGGTTCAAATAAGCTTTAAATAAAAGGGCAACATCGTCGCAATATTGCATTATAGAGATATTAAAGTCACCTTGTCCTTCTTTAATGTTAAAACCTTCCAGTCAAGGTAGCTGTGTGTCTGTAGGACTCGAAAAGATGTTTGATTTTACTTACTTCTTGAAGTGTTGAATATTGAGAACACTCTATATTGCCTTTTATCTCTCTCTAAATGAATGCAGTAATATGTGCCAAGTGTAAATATGGTTTATACCACCAGAGGTGCTGGTCACACCTGTTGCTTTTAAAATCTTAATCCGCAAAGTTGTAGTTGAGAAAAGGACAAATATATACAGCTTAACAACTTTAGTAGACCACTACCCAATGTCAGGTTTATGCCAGAGCTGTCCTAAATTAACAGCATTGGTAAAGGCTGGACCAAAATCATTTTTTATGTTTCTGTAATGATTAATACACTGTGATTTTTTTCCCCTAAAATATAATTATTATTGTTATCCATGAATTTTCAAATTTCCTGTTTTACAAAAAAAAATGAAAAAAATAGTAAAATACATTATTATTTCTTGACTAAGATGTCAAATTATAGTTATTTACTAGCATGCCTGAACAGAATGAAATATGAAAATACTCAAGTACTGATACCTTAAAATAGTATAGATCTGCCTTTAATTCCCATGTCATAGAAGTGTTGTGGTGAATCTTATAATAATACTTTTTACTGTCATATTTGTGTAGTGGATTTTGGTTTTTGCCCTATTGTCCTGTTATCTGTAATTTTCCCTTTACATCATCTGTTAATATAACTCAAAATAACATTAGAATTTGTTGTAAAACTCTTGTGGTGCAAATTCATATAGTTACATCACATGTCAACAAAACTTAGTTCTTCTTCAGACATTGTGTCTATAAAACTGAATATAATTGAGTTCAGACAAGCTCCTCCAGCAGCAGCTACAACAGTAACGTGCTACTGACTGAAGGATCATTAACACCTCTCCAACCACTGCATATAGATCAGGCAGAGTTTTTTTTTCTTGCATAAATGTACGCATATGACATGAATATTTCCATTCCATAAAGGACGCAGCCATAAGAGGCTTTGATTTCAGTGTTTCACTCAATGTGCATATGTATAGCTTATATAACACGAATGCAGCTGCAAATAATGAAGTTGTGTGAGTTTGAGGAGTAAAGCATGGCATACAAATGGCTGTTTAGATTGCTCTCCTCAGTGCTTTTATCTCTGTTTATTCCAGCAGTTTAATGGATGACACTTGACTTAAATCTCGGCTCATTTAGCATTTCTAAGCAGTATAATGGTAAATAATTATAACATTCTGTAATGTAGTTGTAAACAGGTAGGGCATATGTTCTGTCAGCAACTCTTAAAAAGTCTCAATAATTTGAGAATAAATAGTGAATGAGTGCTTGCCATCATCAACATCATTATTATATATAATTAATTGTTTTCATATACTATTAAAAACAATTGAAAAAAAACATTTACATAAATAGTTAAGAAATATTTCAATACACTTTTTATTCATGTGTCTAATGATTGTAATATTACTGAACTGTTAATACATCAGTTATAAGCGCTCAGAAATGAATGCAACAATAATGTAAAGATGTTCTTAAATTTGCTGATATCTGCCCTGGAAAACCTTTAAGTAAACAACAAAACCGACTCAGCTTCCTTAAAGCAACATCTTACACCACGAGAGTGTGTCCTATGATGCATTCGCATGAGGAGAGAGAGAAAAAAAAAGTTTGTGGTTCCAGTGCGTCAGGCGGCGGCTTCACCATTAGGCTCTGCAGGAAGCTCTCAGTCATGACTGTGTGAGCGCTGAGACAGCAGCAGGGCGCAGAGCTGCCTCTCCTCCGTCTGCAAACTTCCACCAACAACCTCTCCAACATGCTTGTATGGAAAGCGCACTGGGGTTTCATTTGATGGCTTTGCAGTGTCACAAACCGGACTTCACTGGGAGGAAAATGCAGTTTTTCTGGATTCTATGGAAGTTTTTGGAGGATTTATAGAGGGGGGTCCTGTTGGACTTGAGCCCTGCAGATTGTTCAATAGATATTTTTTTTTGTAATTGTATTTTTTATTTGTATTTTTTTATGCTTGGTGTAATTCTCTATAAAGTGCACAGCGCTACTGTCTCTTGTTATGGAAAACCTCACCATGGATAACATGACTATGGAGAATGACACGTCGGTGCACCACAACCAGACCCTGGGTGTCTGGACCGACTACACAATCGAATACAAAGTGGTCAGCGTGTTTTTGGTGTCCCTCATATGCGGGGTGGGGATCGTTGGCAACATGATGGTCATCCTGGTGGTCCTGACCACCAAACACATGCGGACTCCCACCAACTGTTACCTGGTGAGTCTGGCGGCCGCTGACCTGATGGTGCTGACGGCCGCCGGGCTGCCCAACATCACCGACGCGCTGCACGGACAGTGGGTGTACGGCTACGTGGGCTGCCTGGGCATCACCTACTTCCAGTACCTCGGGATCAACGCGTCCTCCTGCTCCATCACCGCCTTCACCGTGGAGCGCTATATCGCCATATGCCATCCCATCAAAGCGCAATTCTTGTGCACTTTATCCAGAGCGAAGAAAATCATCATGCTGGTGTGGGCGCTCACGTCTGTCTATTGCGTCATGTGGCTCTTTCTGTCAGACACTAAAAAGTTGGTGTACGAGAACGTGGTGCTGCTTGACTGCGCCTACAAAGTGTCCCGGAGCCACTACCTGCCCATCTACTTCACGGATTTCACGGTGTTCTACGTGCTGCCGCTCATGCTGGCCACGGTGCTGTACGGACTGATCGCCAGGATACTTTTCCTGAACCCGCTGCCTTCCGATCCCAAAGAGAGCTCCAAGAAGTGGAAGAAGGAGACGAGCCAGGGCGGTAGGATGATCAGCAGCAACTCCTCCAGCAGCACCACGGCTGCCTCCCGCAGACAGGTGCGCCCCCCCCCGCCCTCCGTGCGCATTATCTGTGCGCACTCATGGTGTTTGCGCACTGAGTGTGTGAATAGGAGAGAATGAGTCCAGCTGTAGCGCGTTTTATCCAATCAGAGAGAACTTTAGAGTGAGGTCGCTCTGTCCCCCTGGTTGTCTAATTCTTATCAAGTCTAGATAGTCACTTTTGATAACACTTCACCCATGCACTGAGAAAAAAAAAAGCTTAATTTGTGAGTGAATGTATGGATTACTTAGACAAACTGAAACAAAAACACTGGGATAATTTTAAAATAAATCTACATTTTACAAGCACACTATACAAGGCATTTATGAGGATGAATCCTTGTGTTTGGCCAGCTTTGTTTTTTGCTTCCTCCCCCAGCCATCAAGTGCAACAAGTGTACTAGTATATAAAATACGAATTTCGAAGTCAACCATGTTTAAATATTTCCCCCCTTTCTTTTGTGACTTCTGTTTGCTTGTCAAACAGCCACTGAGGCAAAGCTTACTGCCATGAATCTGTCTAGTGTAGGGCAAGAGGCGTGACCCACCTTGAAGAAGTAGCAGAAAATTATAGTGTAGTTCAGAAGAAATGTTCAGTATGTCATCTTACATGGAGGTCACTGTGTCTTAAGTTTTGGGATGAATTAGACCTTCCCAAACAATTTTTTTTCTTCTTCTAACATTAGGCCCAGCAAATCCACTTGTTTAGGATTTGGGAGGATTAGTGCTGCATGTAAAAAAAGAAAAGAAAATAAATAAAAATATGAGATGTAACCATATTGGGGTCACAAGCATAGAAACCCTTTCTTAGAATTCTAGGCAAAGTTGTAAAGCATCAAGTAGGAAACAGAAGCAGAACATTAACCCCTTCAGCCCCAGGCTTTCAGAATTTCCACCTGAACAAACATCCATAAATTCAGTCAGTCACAGCTTCACAACTCAAAGATTAAAATTATCAATATGGACCAAAGACATTAGGAAATACAATAATTCTCTTTCCCACTTTACCAGAGTGAGATTTGGAGAACTCCAATAAAATTGCCATCAAAGTTATAAGTAAACAGACCCCTGAGAACAAATATTATGTATTTATATTCAAAGTATATAATATAGCTTCTGAAGCTCCACCAGTGTTGCAACCATTTTAGTTCATGGCAGCCGGGAACCTTCTGAAAATGGTGTTGGGTTGTGTTTCAACAACAGATACAGTCTGGTCTCAGTGCAGGAACCTCTAGGGATGAAAAGGTTAAGATGAGCTACAGGTAATGATGCGCAGCTAAACGCAATCTCTATTATTAATACGATTTCTTTTGTAGAATTTTCCCGAAGAGCTCCACTGCTTGCTTGCTTTTTGATATTCTGTACAATGAAGTGCTGCCAGCACTCACTCATTGTCATGAGTCTGGTGGAGTGCAAACCCAGCTAGAATTGAATCTTTTCTTTCCTATGAAACAGAGGTGATTCATCTTTTTAGAACTAAAAAGAAAGAAGAAGCAGGAATTCATAGTTCAGTTCACCTCAAATAAGTGGGAATAGTGATAAGACAATGGGGTCTTTGTCAAAGATGCTGTTATCTCAAGTATTAGATGATTTAAATATCAGTTAATATTTGTTCATGCTCCTGGATGATTTTCTTTTAAGAGCTCATAGTATAGCAACCCTTTGATTTATGCTGTTTACTCCCACTTAGAATTAAATGCACCATCATACATACAACAAACTCAAACTGTGCACGATGGTTTCATCACCATTCTTCTGTAAAAAAAACAAAAAAACAAAACAAAACACCCTGCAAACAGTTTGCTTACTCTGATACGTAAAAGGCAATAACGCTTCATGACAGACACCAGAGTAGATAGCAGGGCGAGACATTTGTTTATCAGATCAGGAGAAGAAGCCTCCCTGGAATGACAGAGGTTGTGGTACCCCGAGGCAGCTCTCCGCTCTGTCGAGTAGTCAGATCCGTTAACTCCAACTCAGATAGGCTTTTTTTGTTTGTCCTCCATCAGTAGGGCTTGTATTGTAACACACACTAAGATGTGTTTCTTAGAATTACCTGCTCATCGTGGACAAAAGCAACAATCCACCCCATCTACCATGCACCTTACTGAGTTACCTAAAGGTCAAGAAGTAATGAGCACCTAGAATTAGAACATTTTGCTCGCTGATGACACTGGCAGCGCCTCTGTCCAATCCAATTAGGCTCACCTCCCTGCAGCTGAGATGCAACACAACATAAATATGGATACCACTTAATCAGATACGAGTCCCACATCAAGATTTTTACCTGGTAAATATACTCTGTTGCCCATAAAGTTGGGATAAAATATGGTTTTACCTCTTCTAATGAAATGATTGTGACAATCCGATTTATTCTTGACATATAAAGTTTATATCTTCTCAAAACTGTATTGATATCACAATATACATACAATACATACCACAGGAAAAATTCAACCACAATTAACTTTTGCAAACTGTGTGTTCAGGCTTAAACTAAATTGGGAGGATTGAACAAATAGGATTAAGGGTTTTCTTTCAATTTTTCAACCTTGGTCCCTTTAACAGGAAACACATATTTGAGGGGATTTCATGCATAACAATGTCCAATATTACTCTTTCAAATGTCACTCAGTCACTAATATAGAGTCTGGCCACCCCTGACAATGTGCTAAGACATCGGGGTATACTGTCCACAAGCTTGTTGATGGTGTCAATGGGCAAGGTGTTCCACTCTTCAGTCAGATCCCAAAGTCAGAATTGGTTTCACCTGGTAACTGGGACTCAGTATGTAATCACTGAACCTGGTCAGAAGTGATTACTGCTGTGTATAAATAGAAATAAAAAGAGGAATGTGTTTGAAAACAAATTCCAACTTTATAGGCAACAGCATATTAACAAATCCAGGCTTTGTTAAGTTGGGCTTGTCTATAAATAATGAATGGCATATGAGAACTACAAAGGGCTCATACTACAGTTGCATTACAAACAGGGTCACTATTGTTGGTGGTGAACATACAAACTGGGTACATGTAAATTTTGAGCTTACAAAACTTTTGCAGCTGCCTTTTCATACAAATCTTTGACGTTCTTTGTTGTTGTTTCCCCCCCACCCCCAAATGAGATACAGAACCATAAATCCTTGATTGGTTACCTTATCAATAGACAAATTTGTCTCTATTGCACATAGTTCAGTCTATCTATGCAGAGCCTGCTGCATGTGAGCTGGTATTTTAAGTGATTTGTATCCTGTGTGACTCCACACCTCAACACTTGACCCAAAATAGCCTAAAGTGACAGAGTCTATCTGACAGAGACTCTATCTGGACTTAAAAGATTGTTTGACATGTTTAAGGATTTCGTCAGAGGTTTAGGAAGTTTTCTTTTTTAAAGACATAAATTGTAATCAGCAGGACAGGACTTGTGTGAGATGAACATCTGTGAGGTGGAACAAAGTTTGTAAAGTCAACACCAAGTAATTCCTCAACTTGGATCGGCCAAACGAACCAAGAAAGAAGTAAAGAGAGCGTAAGACTCTTTGTTTTGCAGTACATCATGTGGTACAAATACCAATGAATGAATAGTCTTTCTGCCCACTGAGGAGATGCTGAAGCTCTTTGCATTCTGCATGAGCGAATGTGCCAAAGATGATGTTGTCCAGAAGTAAGCAACATTAACTGTTGTTTAGTACCTCTTGTCCATATGAATGGCAGGTGGGCTTTCTTTGGCTTGTTCTAACAGGAAAGTTTGGGAAGGATTAAGGGTCGAGACAAAATGTTGCAGACAAGTTTAAATCCCCCCCTGATGGGAAGCGCATGACTCTCAGCGTGGAATTCAGGAGATGTCTTTCAAACAGATGGTCAGACAAAGTGTACTTTCAGAACATGAAAAGACAGGAAATGATAGAAACGGCATTTTTTTCAAGTGTCAGTTTTTCCGTTTCGAAAATAAATCTTAACAGGGGTCTTTGTAGGGGTCTGCGAAAGGAGGCGAGGTTGTGTATTATTCTAATTTACAGCTACACTGCTCTGCTGCTGCACTCTGGTCCACTGGATTCACTGCACCGAAAGATTTCTGATAACCTTGACTGCTATTGATTGCCTTTTCATGAAGATGTGCAAAGGTTGTGGCAAAGGGATTGTTTATTTTTTGTGTTGGTGTGCCAGGCCTGTAGGATCTGATTTGAGCACTTTGCTGATGTTGAATGCATCCCATGGTGAAGGCAAAGGTGTTTCCTGCTGACTGCTGATTGTCTGACATGTCTTTAAAAAAGTGAACTCATTGAAGCTCTGATGAATGTTAAAATGCATCAGCAGGTCTTGGTAAATAAATAACGACTATATGATTGAGACACAGACTTAATACATTTTATCACTCCCGGAGCAGTGCCTCTTTCTTCTTCTTTTTTTAACCTTTAAAAAACTTTTGGGGTGGACAATACTGAATTTAGAATTGTGGTATTTATCCCAACAAATACACCAGCCACATCATCAATATCTGTGTGGAGGCATGATGACCTCTTTTGCACCTGTCACAAACTTTAAAGTTGTAATCCATCAGATTTTCTTGTCAGTTTGTGAGACCTGTGACAGTTTGGTTCGACACTGCAGGACCTCCCCGCTTGAGCAGCAGCTTTATCAAAAATACAACAGAGGAGCAACTTCTGTTTATAGTACAACCAAACAAAGTCCTGTTGTTTTTATAAAGAAATAAGGTAATAATTGGCTTTTTGCCATCATTACTTGAAAAAAAAATCTACTTTCATGCTCCACACAGCTCAAGTGGTTTTTCACACAGCTTAAGGCGCAGCGGAGCTGGTTACTTAGCAGTTGGAGGTATGCAGCCTGTTGACAGCAATTCCTCATTTTGCTGCTCTTGTTTGCTGCTTCTTTTTGTTCTGTTACTCCCTGCAATGTTTTGTCATAGTTTGCCGTCAAGTAAAGCCGAAAGTGACTGTTTGTTTTGTGTTTGTTGCGTTTTGACGAATGATTGTGGTGAGCGGCACAATCTGTGACAAATACAATGTGTTCCGGTGACTGCTTCACAAGAAAAGCCTCCCCACGTTTCACCAGTTGAATGCTTTTAATGAGAAGCAGCAGGAAATGTTTGCTGTTCAGTTCTGCAGAAAGTAAGGTTGATATCAGCAAGATAAAAGTACAAGCAATGTTGTTTTACATACATGTAGCATTTTGACTTGTGTGCGATTTAAATCCCAAACCAGAGTGGCACACTTCCCCACTAATGACGAAACCTATGATTTAGAGAAATGTTCTCAGAGTGCAAATACATTCAGTTTTTCTTTTCCTATTTTTGAACTATTTATAATGTTAAAAATGCTGTTTAATTTCATGTAAAACTTCAGAATGAAATGCATTTTGACAGTGGGAGAAGCACAGATGTAAGTAAAGAATGATGCTACATTTTGTTTAGGTTCATCTGGTTTAAGGTTTTAGTCTTTAGTATGCTGGATCACTGTCACACTATCATGTCTTACTGGGAACAGAACAGTGCTGCTCTTAATGCTATTAGCAACACATGTACTTTGTCTTTTATGACAAGTCAGAATGCTGCAAAAAAAAAAAGCCTGAACTTTAGTGCTTTGTTTTGCAGCCACATGCCTGAGAAAACATCTAAAGTTGTATTAATCATCATGCTTTTTTTTTTTTTTAAATTGAATTTGATGTCGTTTTTAACACATGACTGATGTTTACCAGGTGACAAAGATGCTAGCTGTGGTGGTGATCCTCTTCGCCTTACTTTGGATGCCCTACCGGACCTTGGTGGTGGTCAACTCCTTCCTGCACAAGGCCTACCTGGACCCCTGGTTCCTGCTCTTCTGTCGTCTCTGCATTTACCTGAACAGCGCCATCAACCCCGTCATCTACAACGCCATGTCCCAGAAGTTCCGCGCCGCTTTCAAGAAGCTGTGTCACTGTGGTCCTCAGCGCATGGAGAAACCTGCCTCCTACAGCGTGGCGCTCACCTACAGTGTTATCAAAGAGACGTCAAACGGGGAAAGTCCTGACCACTTCACCACTGAGATGGACGAGCTGCACACACCGTCGGATCAGTACCTACCTGCCAGCATCCTGCCAAGTGCCAAGAAGATGCCCTATGAGGAGCCTTCGCTGTCAGGCAGAGATGTCAAAGTGTGATTTGAAACGAACTTTCCATCTAATGAGGATATCAGAGAGACTGACGGCTCCAGTAAGGATTCGGTCAAGATTTAATTAAAGTAACCACACACTTCAAGTTTAATTTCCCCAAGGTATTTCCACTTGCAAGTTTCTTTTATTTGACAAGACCATTTGCCGGATGCCAAATTGACTGTAATGAGATGAGTTGGCATGTACTTAAGGCTTTTTAGCCTTTTGAACAAAATCATTCGATTACAAATTGTCAAAAACACAAATTAGTGATATGCCTGTGCAACAATGATTCTGCAGAGAAAATCTGTCTATAGTCTATAAAACAGAACAAAAAAAAATTGTTTTAATGAGATGCACCTAACGTCTATGATATAAGACAGAGACAGCTTTTGTATGAACCTCACCCTAACACTACATGATAAACTTGCATGAGAGCAGTTTGTCAGTTTATCCGACAGTTGCATGATTGGTTTGGTTGAAGCAGAGCCTCCTCGTCTCATCTTCCTGTCCACGTTCGACACAACCACACTGTTAAATCAGACACTACATTAGCAGTCAGTCAACAACAGGAAGCTTCAGGAGCGGCTATCGTATGGCTGGATGATAATGCAGTTGATATTTTGAAAAATATCAGCTAAAACCTCCTGCCATTAGTGACCTTTATTGTGAGTTTCATGTCATTGTTTAGCACACAATTTAACTGTTTGTTCACTCATGGTGATGCTTTCCACCGCTGCAGGCGGCTGTTTACAACGAAAGGCTCCCTAACCCCACTTTGCGCTCCCCATTCAGCACCAAACAGCAGAGAGACTAAATTAGCAACTGCTGCTGGGGAAAACAGCGGAGCATTTAGCAGGTACAGGGTCAGATATTTGCCCCAGCGGTCACCTTTCGGGAGAACTAATATTTGACTTGAATTTGCCAGGTGGTTAGAAACATTTTCACTGCCTCCAAGTGGCCGAAAACATTTTCCTGCGGACTGTTTTCGACACCACTCCCTTGTTCGCTCATCCTCGACTTACTTTCTTCACATTATCAGGCAAAATGTTTTCACACCATTAACTTTGTTACTTTACTTATCCACAGCAGCTCTTTTGCTTTCAGGGCTGCTGTGACTGCTCAGCTGTTCATTTCTATTTAGCTGACTTTAGCAATTTCATTATTCTGGGAAGAGGGTTGTTTGTTTCTATGAACAATGTTGGACACTTACTATACCAGGATTGCTTTTTTTCCCTCAAAGAAGTAATGTGTTGGATGACAGCTTGAAATTCAGGGATGACATACTATTTCTAAATACTACTCATCCCATTAAAGCTCTGTTACACTGACAGTTTGAGGTGAGACTTACCAGTAGTCTGATGGAGGGTTGATATCAGCTCAGTCTGAATGTTAACTGGACAGACAGGTCAAATAAGTGTTAGTTTGGTGCAGGAGATCTAAGACCAGCACCAAAAGAGTAGGAAAACAATTTTAAAGTGATCTTATGTTGTATCTCATTAGCTGTGTCGGGAACGTTACACTGAGTGACGTTCCATTCAGGAATAGGCTGTTAACAAGCCACTGCTGATCAGTAAATACCTCCAAAACTACTGGTAGGCTGAAGTTAAACCACATTGTTCTTGTTCCACATGTGTTTACAACCTAAGATTCAGCCTGTGTGTGATGTAACAAAGTGCTTTTTGTGTTGACTAAAGTAACTGAACTGAATTGCATTTTAAATGAGAAGTATGTATTGTGTTGAACATTTTTTATCTGCCCATATGACTGGCTTGATTCAGCTTTGTTTCTCAATGGGGACTCCATGGATTATCAAGCAATGCAATTTATACACAGTATCACAGTTTCTCCTTATCAAGAACATTTCTGATCAGTGTTTATGGGCTGCCAGGTGGTGCAGTTGGTTAGCACTGTTGCCTCGCAGCAAGAAGGTTGCTGGTTCACGTCCTGTCTGGGTATATCATTTTACCTGCTCTGTTGTGTGCAGATATTACAGATGTAGCAAAAGTGCTCTTCATCCACCCCATGTAATTCAAATTAATCCAAATGCACACCACCATGACATTTTCATCTAGCTACTACAAAGAAAGCACAGATATGTAATCGCATGACCTTTCAATAAAAGGCCCAAGCAGAGAAAGAGACAAATATTACACTCAGTTAAACCTGCTGTTAAAATCACCCGAACTCTAATTATTCCTGCAAGGATGTCAGTCTTAGCAGTGACAGACACATCAAAGCCTTTTTTTGCTTTGGTCATCATGAACACAGCATCTGTAGGTTCACTGTGGAGACCCTGTGAAGGTCAGCGGTCAGTGTATCATAACGAGGCTGAAATGTGTAGCTGGGATGTGCCGACAAAGAGGCTGTTTGTTAAAGGGTCAGATAACTGGCATGGCAGTAATTCACTGATATTGCTCAGACTGCAGAATGCAGCACTTTTCTGTGATTTATCTGCTCAGCAAAACCCACAGAGCAATGATGGAATAGTTAACTAGATTGCAACAAAGTGCAATACTTCAGTTGGTGCAATCCACAGCATGTATATAGCTTACCCTGCTATGAAAGGAAGACTTCTGTGCTGTTTCTTTGAACGTATGTGTAAATTGAGGCGCACTCAGAGGGAACGAACACTTAGTGAACTCAGTGAAAGGGACCTGTTTCACTCTGAAAAGCAGGCTTTTCTGTCTATATTGTAAAGTTGCCTAAAATTGATTGTGCAGTGCAATGTGAAATTCATTCAGTATTGTGTTTTCAAATGTGTGCCAGCAAATGCATTTGTCAAATAATAGCCCATTTTCATCTATTGTTTCATCAGCGTGTGTGCTGTCATTTCAAACCAGTTGGTGGAAGGTAATCTCTAAAGTGAAACAGGTGACAAAACATAAAAACAAAAATGGTTCAAAGTCTGTAGTTTGTAGTGTGAAGTACCTCACATCTGTACACTTATTAATCTCTCTGTTTGTTCTCAGCTGAAATGTATTTGATTTTTGGACAAACGCCGCACAGTTGTGTTGGAGATGTTTTGTGTTCTGCACGGTGCACAGTTCGGAGCATGAACACAGGCTTTTGTGATGTGGACACAAAACTTGATACCTGATGTATCTGAGGCAACAGTTTGTGCACGTTTCTGTCTTGAGGTAGCTTTTCTCTGCTCTTGCTGTTTGATGGATTGTTTTGTATTTTGTATTGTTCTCTGTCTATAATAAACAGACTGTAATTACAGCGCCATGTGGATGGTGCATTATTACTACATTTTGATGTCTCATACAGAGCGCTTCTCTCTCGTTCCCAACTCTGCACACCTCCACCACCGCTGATCTATTATCAGTAGTCATTGACAAAACCGCCTCTTCCAAGAAGCTGTCATGAATCAGGCATAGATAGCTACTGTATGAACTATGACCACACTGAGGACATCGATCACTGAGGTTGATGGCTTCATGCTGAAGTCGCTCGGCATGCGGTGGCCTGCCTCGACACAAATTCATCTCACTGAAGCTATTAGACGCCAACGGTACTCTCAACACAAACAATGTGACACCCCCGCTCAATTTATGTTCAGCCACTGTGGGTAATGTTACTCTAAATATCTGACTCACTAAACCTCCCTCAATTTTGTTAAGTGATAATGCTAACACTGGAGTATATATCACAGTAATTACCCACGCAATGTTACCGAGCTGGGAAGAGCTTAATGTGCCGGGAGAGAATGTCCTTGGAACACAGAGGCACTAATTGCCATCTGCTGTAACGTCTCATCAGCGGTGTGTGATCCAGCTGTAAATTTGAGTGCTACACGTTTTATTTTCACATTTTTATTACAGAAACCAGTGAGATCAGTCTGACTACCTCACAGCTTAAGTACAAAATAATCACATGGACACCATAAATGGACATTGATTGCTACATCTAAAATCATCTTCCCACACTTTGCTAAAAGTAATACTGAGATCAGACCAAATTAACACAGGGTGCAACAATTAATTGTTTTATCTTTAAAAGTGGTGTGTCATAGAGGGTAACAACCACTGACTGTATATAAAGATGGATAAACCCTCTGTGACGATATGCATTGTTTTCTGAAGAGTAGTTTTGAAGCTCAGTGTGGTGGCTCTGGTTGCTGCCATGGTGGCAGTGCCTGATTTATTGTCAGTCTTGGGTAATCCAAAAATGAGCAAAGAGGAGGAGCAAGGGTGGAGCTAAGAGGAGCCATGCAAACATCTCTTAACTTTGCATAATTTTAATCAGTTTAAATGGTTTTGTTTTTAATTGGTTTGGTTTTCATGAACCAGGGATTTAGACCAAAACTGCTTTTTGTACCAGGCTGTAGACATGTTTATTCCTACTATAAAATGCTGTATTTTACCATGAGGACCAATGAATGTTAACTCTTTTTTGAATTTTTAGTTTAAGCAAAACCATTTGTAGCAGCATTTTTAAAGACTAACCCTTCTTGTGAGAGATGGAGCCAACCTACCCCGAACTCCTCACAAGGCAGTAAAGAGGGCAAGAACCATTTTACACCTCACGCATGTGTGGCTGGCTGCAAAAAGACTGATTTTGGCCTTGCACCCAGTGGATAATTTTGAACTGCATCACATGTCTGGCACTGAAGAAGAGTTAGTTATCCTGTCCAGTGCTACATTCCCAAGAGTAATCACGCACCGCTTCACCTATGTCTGTGATCCAGGTGCTTTTCAATCATTTCATTGATGGCAAACCATTTGTTTTGAGCCTATTTGTCAAAATACAAGGTAATGTACAGGGAAAAGGTCAAAATTCTGTTTCCATATTCATCAGGTTCAAAGGTGACTAAAATCTCCTCTCCGCTGTTGAGCTATGGTGATGCAAATATTGAATTATAATAATTGGTGTTTTCTTTAAGGAAATTTGTCCTCAAGCAACAGATTTATCCTCAACCTCTCATGTGTGACCTTTAACTCAAAGATCTTTAGACACTGCACTCCACACAGAAGCATGATTGATCCATTAGAGAAACAGCTGAG